ACTGTATGTACGCCGACAAACCAGATCTAATTATCTAATCATACACACTTTGGCCATATTAAAAGCCTACCTTCTCCTGGTCACGACCACGGTGCCTCTAGATCGTGGCCCTCGCCGAGTCGCGCGTGATGGTAAGGGTAGGGAGGGAAGACATGGACTCGTGCTGAGTTTCGGCCGAGCCACCTCGTCTTCCTCGGATCTCTGAGATAAACGAGGCAGTGGAAACCCCAGGCTTTTACGAGGGGAGAACCAACTGTCGCCCGTCGCCATCTTGTTCACCGCGCGAAACACCCTCTCCAGTCGCAAGGATGCCCCGAACTCGGGCTGCAGCAGTGCTTCAGCGGACCTACATCTTGCCAGAATGGCCGAAGCGTCTGTTTCGCCAAGCAGCGCCGTCCAACGCCGCCATATCCGACAGTCGTCGGACGCGAACATGTTAAATATAGCCTGCTGGGGGAGAAAATACCGTAGGGGCCGTGGGGACAGTAGGTGATACAACAGGTTGTCTACCGCATACCCTAGGAATGGATACGACGATGTAATGAGATTGCGCTGGTCCACTACGTTCCTCTGCCACGTGGGTGACGTCTCCAGTGGTGAGATACTCTGTTTCGGTTCCGGGGACTGATTCCCGCTCACCAGGGGCGACAGATCCGACGTGTTCAGGTATACCAATATCGTACGGAGAAGGCTATAGTGGCAGAGGTCGACCGCCTCGTGATCGGGCGGTGTGGTTGTTGCTCGTCCTGACGACAGCACAGCGAATCCCCTCCCAGACAAGAAGAACGATCTTACAGATTCATTAATGGGGTAAACATGCTGAAGTCCTAGCGATTGCTGTGCTTTACCCTTCGCATCCGACGGCCTCGCCTCCAGGAGACCGCATGTCCGGGAGTACAGCCATTGGTAAAACTGGGACGGTGTATCGAACTGCTTGCCCGTCTTCTGCAGCTCTTGCATCGACCAAGGCAATCCAACATCCAACGCGGTTTGCGGGTCGCGGCAGAGCAGAAAATTCGTGCGGCCCAAGCGAACCGCCATTCGTAGGTCATTGAGCATCATAGGCTCCGGTGATAACATAACCCATCGCATGATTGTCGTAGCATCCGCCTTTTCTTTGGATGAGAGGGTTCCCAACGTCCGTTCATATAGCCCGTATAGACTTGTGGGAAGCTCCCCCAATACCCGGACCATGAGGTCCTGCGCTCCGCCACCGTCAATAACTTCGTTGAGTAGGTTCGTCGCAAGTTGTGCCCATAAGAAACTACTCCCAGCCTTCTTAGCAATATTTTTCACAACAATAGACCGCTCCCAACTTCCCCTTAGACGGGACTGTATTAACCATGCAATATCTTCGACGTTATGATCTTCGAGTTGCAACTGAGTTATATTGGCTGGAACTGGTTCGCTAACTGGTCGGCTGGCTAGACACACACTAAAATTCGAGCTCCGTGCCATTCGACATAGGCAATAAAGGAGTTCCCGGATATGCTCGTCGTCGCAACTATCTTCTGCATCGACCAATATAAACGTCCTTCTCGCTAATGTCCGGGGCTTTCCTGTGATATAGTCATCGAGAAAGAATCGAGTTAAATCCGTATCACTTATATCACCCCCGCATACACCGGGAAGCTTTTCGCGAAGATTCGGGTCATGCACGAAGAGCTGAGAGACCAGGGTACGGATTGTCGTGATCGATCGTATACTGCCCAGTCGGTCGATGCCTTGGCCTTCTGCGGTGCAGTATATAATTGAGGTGGTAGCAGGTTTCCACTGCTTTTCCATTTGGCACCGAATTTGCCATAGCTGGGTCGACTTACCAGAACCTAGAGCACCCGTCAGCCAGAGTATTTGCTCATTGCTACCATCCTGGCGGCGGTACCAATCGCAGAACTCCTTTGTGCTACATATTCGTCTGCATGTACCTAGGGAGCCCTCTCTAAGAGCTGACCGGGAGCCCCTGTCTCTGACTCGTCGACTTTTAAGTCGCTGCAAGCAGCCTAACATAAATTAGCCTCTGCGTAAAGAATAGGAACGCTGTGATTACGTACTTATATCTCCCGCGCTGAGCCTTCGATGCTATCGTTCTTCATTAGCCATAGGCTCTAATAGATATCCGACAGTGAAGTGCTACCTTGAGTTTTTCATCTCTCACGATATCTTGGAGGATCTTCGACAGTGATTTGAAACCAGCATCACTCGCCGACTTGAAGTGACACATGGAGCGATGGTGCGCAGGTAAGCTCTCTGCGTCTTCTCTTGCGTCCCCAAGCTTACTCGCCTCGGTACGACTGTTCTAGCAGATATGTAAGCTCGTTTCCAACCATATACTTGAAACAGAGCGCGACCCACGATTGGCCTATCCGTGGCACCCTGTCGTTCCTGATATGTCTTAACTATAAAGTTGAAATGGTGCCACAACCGAATAAATGAATCCTGTGCTTCGCCCCATCTAGGATTATTTACGCCACACAGAGCAGAGAATACCGAGCTCTCCGTTTTGCCGCTGAAGGATGACTCTGCCATTGACACCACCGTGTCTGCCAATGGCTCTTGCTCCACAGCCCTGTGTGGACAACCAAAGAATATGGCCGCGGCCGTAGAACTCAGGATGTCCTGTTCGTTTTTCGTGTTGCTGAACTCAGCTTGGCGCAGCACCTACGGTAACCATAAGTATTTCCACGTGAAAATCCGATGTACATAAACCCACCTCCTTCACAATAATTCCACCGAGGGAATGAGCTATAAAAACCAGGGGCCTTTGTTGCACATTGGTACTATCTCTAAGGACTCCAAGCTCCTGAAGAAGGTCCTTTGCGTGAGAGAAGAGATCGGGCTGAGCGGCAACCGGCACATCGCCACTGCGGAGAGTATGGTACCCCCAAGTGATCACGCGCGCTTCTGGACAAGCAATAGGCAGTAAGTCCTGCGGCCAGAAGACTAGAGAGGCCTTCGACTCAGGCTGCCGTGTATTATTCCGTGGAATGGTAGCCGGTCGATGTTTCCCATCCGAAGAGCTCGTTCTCTTGAGTAGAAGCTTCAAAGATCCGTCACGCGCGAGCGGATCGGTCTTCCTCTGAGTAGTAGATGCTGCGCTGTCATCGTACTGCCAGCTTCGTATCGGATGTCCCCCTAATCCATGGACAAAGACAATGCTGAGAAGAGATGATAAGCCCGTGCATCCCTGACAAGATACCGGAATAAGAGAGAAATTAACCTACTCGACGAGCGTGTTGTCGCTCTTTTCCGGCTCATAAAGCACGTGAAGACCGACCGAGGAGACCCCCTCTTGGAGTGGACTCATGGCAGCGAATCATGGATGACCCCTTCGATTCATCTGAAAACCAGACCTGTCTCGAGATAATTCACTCTTCAATGCATTAGCACAATAATATCGATGATAATGTCCAGTTAGAATACAGGGTGCCGTCAGCACTGCTTATATCCGACGAGCATTAGGCAGTTGGTGCCTGATTTGATGCGATATGATCTGGCACGCGATATGTTGTTGATGGTGGGGGTCAGGGTTGTATGGCATGCTGGCAGGTAGACAGACAGACGTGTGCTCCAAAGTAAATGAAAAGACAGCAAACAAAACCGTCCGCCTCATTCAGCAAATCCCCCTGAGCACTTGGCTCATCCGTCTGTCTCATTTCTAGATCCCATATATAATCCGTGCCGTGTCGCCATAGCCTGTCCGGCTGATTAATTGGCCACCCGCGCGCAATAAGGATAAGCCTGATTTTTAAGTACCAGGTAAGTAGGTAGGTAAGTATCACAACAAAGCCAGGTTGGTAGGTAGGGATCCCGACGGATCACACAGCCAGAACCAGAATTCATGTCAACGACGTCTTCTCTTCGATCGACAGAGATATGGCGCATTCGCCATTGCGTCACCGTCTCATCTCATAATTATCGGGATACACCGTGCGACGTCCCGAGACGGGAGTGTTTCACCTCTCCTCTCCTCGCCTAATCACATGTCTTTCGGCTCTCTTTCTCCATGTTAGTTGCGCGGCTGAGCTGAGGTCAGTTCGATAAGCTCGTTCGACATCGCGTTTCAACTCGTCGGTTGCCACGTATCACACCTCCCGACACACCACGACCGGAAGAGGAATGTATCATGCGTCTTCTCGGTAACGTAGCAACTCCGCTGTCATTTGACTACCTATATGAGACTTCGTCAGACACGAAAGAACCGTCGCCCAAGACACTGTCGCTCGCGAAGACCCCGTCGCTACGTGTACTGCCGTCGCCAATCTTTCCAGCCTTGATTGATTTACATACGTGTCCCTCCATTGGGTCGCCCCTGTTTCTCATCGGCTTTTCACCGACCGACCAATCAGTCACTGGAGCCGTCGAGCATGAAACTGAGGTCATGAGTGAGCGCTGATAAGCCCGGACATCGCGATATAAACACTGCACATACGTGAGTAGTTATACTAGGAAGATTTCAACCTGCCTAGTAGTCCTAGAGAAGTACGCATTTACTTAACTTCGCAAAGTCGTGGCCTGCGCTTGTATTAGGCCGCTAGGTAGAACAACAAATCGGACATATCATGGGGATACCAAGGTGTGTTACCACCGTCTTTTGAAAATAACGTTGTAAAATTGAATCATCTGTGACCTCTAGGGATTGTTTACGGGCCAACAGTCATAGGTAGATCTCTATAGTTTTTTTGAACATTGTACCAGGTCGCGGTAAAACGTAGTATTTGAGTTCATACATATGATACATTTCTTATTAATTGATTTCGGATTTTACAGCATTCTAACGAATACTGACTTTATAGGATACTGGTTATGATTATACCAGAAATACAGTACGCAGGGAAAGGAACCTTGTAACTTAGCAGGCGATTGTTATGTCGTGGTAACGCGTGCTGTAACTGTTAAGAAAGGGGTCTCCCTATTATCTGTTATTGCGTACGTTACCGCTCACTCGCACTGTGGTCTTGATAGTCTATTACTGAATGGCTTAGTCATACAAGTTAATCAAGTCTCGATTGGTCTAGTGGTCAGGATACCTGCTTGTCATTGGATAGTATTGATCGTTTGATCATCCAGTTCCGAGGATCGTCTGAGACTCAAGAGACAATTCGCAGGTGGCCGGGGTTCGATTCCCCGATCGAGAGTTATTCTTTTACGTTATTTGCAGTCTGATTTATTTCATTTCACCCTACTTTTTTAATTGCGGGAATGGACCCTTTGCTCTGGGCTACTCTTGTGCATAATAAGAATACAAGGGGAAGCTTAATCAAGATTAACAACAATAAAAGTATAGCTACGTAGAATAGCTATAATGAAATTAGCCTTTATCTGCTAAGATTTAACGTATAATGGTTGCAGAAAGAAAACATGCTTTGCTAGAAAACTATCTCGAAATTTTAAAAAAACATTATTATATACTATTTTTACAACTAAACCATAAGTGTAAATCGGTAAGTAAAGAAGCAATACTACTATTATTGTTGTCCCGGCCTTTCGACATCATATATGTTACGCAATTATCATTCGTATGCACTGTACTTTCTTCAACCTAACATTGTTTGGGCCAAGGGGCTATCATGTATGTCATCATATAAGCCATGGGGTGTTATAAATGGGCTATTATTACACGAAGACCATGCGGTTCGTTTAATGTGTGGTTGCCACTGACGATAAATAAAACAACTGTCATGAAATGAAATACCGAGGCCTAGCCACTACAGCATAGGTAATGAAAGCGCCTTTCAGTAGTCTATGGACCTTTCCCCAACAGACTTAAAATAAATGTATGAAGTAAGATTCGAAGCTTAGAGGTAAGAGAAAGCCAGAGACAACTCCATATTAGCCTCGTTTTCTGACGCTTGAATGATCTTTGGGCCTGTATTGAAGCTAGCGGCTTACGGTTCCTTAGAATGAAACCGAACCACAACTAGTAAGAGATCGAAAGCTTCATGATAGTAAGGGCAGTTTTAGTTAACGAGGTTGAGTTTCATTTAATTTTCTTTTGAACAGGTAATCGCATAGAATGCCTGTCATAGTAGTAGAAAGTGCATTATATACCGTCGCATATGGAAACAGGTCAACCCATACAATTCCAAGGAAGATGAAATATGGAACGAGCTGAAGAGAATGTGTAGTAAGGTGAGTAACAGCATCCTCCTAGTCTTCTCCCCTTTATGCCCGTAGTAGCTATATAGCGTACTGTTATTAGTCCGATTCCCTCCACGTCGTTCCTCCACCACTTCAATACTAGTTAACTCCCACTTTCCTTTGACACTTCCTGTTCCCGCTCCCGACAATAAACAGGAGTAAAAGTCGTACGCGTACCGGCTAGAACCCTAGGATCTCGTTTGCTTTTCGTATGACTTCCCTGGCACCGGGACCGTCTGATTCCGCTGGGACAATTTTCTCAAAGCCGAAAGCCCGCAGACCTTCCGAGTTGGCATGCGTCCGGAGATAGGACTCTGTAGGCCGGTTCACGTGCTGTGATTCGCCTTGTCCGCCAGGAAAATCCGGACCGGGAGTGCCATCCAAGAAAGCTTTTCTTTGACGTGTAAGGTATTGGGCGTTTTTCTCGGTGACGGGGCATACCGGGATATAAAGTACACTTGAGTCCGACTGCCCACCGTGGATCTTGTCGACGGCATGAATAGCTGAGTTAAGTAGTATGTTAGTTTTGTAGCGTTTAGAGAGAAGAATGATGAGGGCTCACTGTCACAGTGCCACAAGACGAAATCACCCGGCCTGACTTCAGGCATATGCACCATACTTGTGTCAAGCTCGAGATGTGGGTGGAGGTCCGTATTCAGCTCTTGTCCCTTGCCTAGTGTTGCTCCATGCAACTCGCTCGTCATCTCGGAGCCAGCGAACACCCAGTTGTCTGCCTCCAGGTACTCTTCGGCGGACACATCTTTTGACTCCTTCACATGTTTGAAGAACGGACGGAGAAGTAAGTACGCGGATGATAGTTGAAGCAGGGGATTCACCAGCAGAGTGCCTTCAAACCCTTTCGTGTAGCTCATGCTCAGCCATCCCTGGAACATGCGGAACATCGAACACGCCCCGAGTCCGTTGTAGTTATCCATATTGGCGCTGACTCTAGTGCTGGCATCCCATGGGTCGTACTCCTCCCACGACCCTTCGAAGACCTTGTCATAAACGCCGCCGAGTCCATAACCATTCTTCTCCCACCGTTCGACACTGCCTCCGTCAACATGGGGGCCCAGGGCGAATTTTGCATCACCTGGTTGTCTGATTCGTAGACGGTCTGCGTAGGCAAGAGTCTGTGATAGCGAGATCGAGCTTTGAGGGTTTGACAACTGCCAAACATTCATGAGTTTTGATTGCACCTTCAGAAGATTTGGATGTGTCCGTGCGCGAATCTGGGGGCTCGACCAGTATAGCTCGAATACTTGAGGGTTGTCCTGGGGGAACGCTACCCCTACGGTTAGAGAACTGACTAGAAAGGGTATGGATGGTGGTATTTGCCTTTTGTTGACGGATTCTGTCTGACATATTCTTCGATATCGCTCTTGTATGCGCGGGCTTCACTCTCGGGTATCACGCCCCTGACGACGGCAACACCCCTCTTCTTAATCTCCGGGTGTAGTCTCGTGAGGTCTTCCTCAAGATTTGCGAATTGCAGGCTTGGTATAACCTTTGACCCTTCTTCTGCGAGGATACTGTTTTCTTGTTTAAGCTGGGTAAGAAGCCTCCGCCAGCTTGCAATGATCCGATCTTCGTGGCCAGCCACCAACGATTTCTTTAGATCGAGGAAGCATTCTGGCAGCGGCGGCGCATTGCCATCGGATAATGAGGCAAAGGAATCAGAAATATCGCCTTCCCTTTTCGTCTGGTACTGGTTAGAAGCCATTGCGGCTATGTTTCGTACCGGGCTAGATCTCAAGATTGTCGGGTTAGATAACAAGATAGTAGCGGGTATAGGCCTTAAAATAGGCTTCACCAGTATTAAATGCATTCTTATTGAGCCCTCCGTGATTGCTATTTTATCTATCAGGACAAATTATATAAATATATATACACGTGGAACTATGTCGGAATAGCCTCTGTAATGGAGGGTGGTACATCCGCGTCGGAGTGATGACAACTTGTACTACTAATAACGGGACACAGCGGGCCGCTATACTAGCACGAAAAACGTGTCTTACCCTCCCCAGGCCGGGGACAAGAACAAGACGATCATCGCCAGCGGGCTATTGTCGGAGTTTTGATACGAGTAAGCTTTCCGAGCTGCTGGTTTACGCCATAAAGAGGGAACGTGACAGGGCGGACTAACCGTTTTTGGCAATACCGCCATGTCGGAGTTGGAAATGAAAACGGGTCCTCGACAGAACGGAGTAGATAAGGTTGGATGATCATTCATGAGCTTGTATCTAGTTGCCGCAGCAGAGTGTGCTCTTGATCCTTTTATACGTAAAATGAAGACCTACCCGATCCGTTTCACCTGGACTCGGAGAGACGGCGGAGATGACGAATTAGGTATTAGGTGATCACCGCTCTGTTATAGTCTAACCTTGGGATATAATCCAGTCGCTGTCGAGCCATGGTCAAATTCGTGGAATCAGACACGACCGGCTTGCCGCTCAAGCGAAAACAAGTCGCACATGCCTGCGAAAAGTGCCGTCGCCGGAAAAAGCGATGCATCCACACAGATCCAAAGATCCACGGCGATCCGTCTTCCGCTCGATCGCCCGACAAGTCTTCGGCGGCGGAGAGGTCGCATCTTTCACGGCCCTCGCCCTGCAATGGGACCAGTAGTAAAACACAGGTATCAACTCCGAACCTTTCAACTGGCACACGGCCGGTTTCACCCGCCGTTCGGAATGGGGAGGAGGAGAGGCGTGGAGACGCCCATCCTTCAACATTCTACGGTGATTTAAACCCAGAGGCAATCCTCATGGAGGCCACTAGTCTATGCTCTAAGCGTGATGTCTCAGCGCCCGGTGGTCTCGGAATTTGGCAGGCCCCCATTGCTCCTCGCGCGAGCGCTCAGAGTTCGGGCGTTCCAAGTGTGCAGTCATCATCGCGACGGGCAGTTCAAGATATGTTGCGGTCGTATCTGTGGAACCACTGCCTACCGTGTCGTGCCCCGGCATCCGACTATGCGGTATTGAGACGTATATACTTTGAGAAGATGAACCCTATATTTCCCATCTTCGAAGATCTCTTAGTTTCTAGTGTGCCGGATGAACCAACGGACATTCTGGTCCAGCAAGTGATTAGCCTTGCAGCCGCCGCGGACCCCGAGGCTACTCAACATCTTCGTGTGAGCCCTAACGGACCTCTCCTCTCCCGCCAGGAGTTCTGCGCCTCACTGTCGAATTCCGTGCTGACGACACTGGAAGCTGGGATTGTGACGGATCGCGTTTGGCTCACTCGCCTGTCAGCTGCTTTGTCGCTCTACACACAGCCCACGAATGCCGAAGAAGCTGACATCCCGGCCCTCTTAAACAGTCGCGCCGTTCATCAAATGAACACACTTGGACTTCAGATGGCAGTAGACGACGGGCATCCGAAGAGAGATATGATTCGGTCAATCTTTTGCTGCTTATGGGCGCTCGACCGTATTACAAGCGCATTCTACGGCCGTGCCTGCTTAATACACGAACGAGATGTTGGCTGGGACATCGATGATTGCATCCATGCACAGGCGCCCCCTTTCCGCCTTCTTCTAATGATCATTAATCTACTTGATAAAGTAATTGGGTTATACCGTCCCGGAACCCGGCCGAGTAAACCTGTTCTCATCGAGTTACCCATATTCGAGCAGATGGTCCTGGATGCGGAGGCATTAAGAATGACGAGTTCTTGTCTCGGTAAGTTAGGTGCGTTGTAAAAATAGGGGACAAGCCTGCTAATTCGTACCAAGCTTCTCTGGAGATATTCTATCACTCGGTTGCCATATTGTCGGCCCAGTCGCCAGCTGATTTAACGTCATCTACCCTGCCCAACCCCGCGACCAACAGCCGGAGGTCTCTGGCGGCAGATCGTATCACGTCGATAATCAGCGAGGAGTTTGCCGGACAGCTCTCGTATATGCCATTTATACCGTACGGGGTGTCCCTATCCCTTAGCGTGTCGTATAGGAAAATGCGACACAGTAAAGTCCCCATGTTTCGGAATCGCG